AAAGACTGCACAAACATGTACCTACACACTCTTAAATCCAAACAAACCACCATTTTAACTCTCACTAATGACCAGTGAGACAGAAATATTGTCTGGAACTGAAATGCTTCATAATAGTAGCTGTTGTTTTCTATATATCTGTTCCAGCATCACTGCAGTCCAGAATCACGATTCTCCGTCCATTTTGGATTGCCGTCCATTGGTATCTCGAGAACAGCAGCAGCCGCCCGCAGACGACTTTCCACACACACCTTCAAATAACAGCACGTGTGTGCCAGTTAAAGGAAAGAGAAAACATACAGATGGCAGGAAAAGAGAAGAGAAGGTTTCTGTTTCCAGCCTGGATGATCCCGACGAGACGGAAATCAAGGGGATGATGCTTGCTTCCACTCCAGCTAATAGTCATAAAGAGAGCAAGAATCAGGAAACAATGGTTAGACACAGTCAGACAGAAGCAATACAGACACACACTTAAAAAAGTTTTATGTAACTATTTTATTTTGTAGGATTCCAAGAGAAGGAAATGTTTGGACCAGCACACACCTCGCAAAAGTTCACTTCAGAACCAAAACACACATTTCCCATACGGTAATATAGAAACATTATGAACAGCTTGCCATAATAGTTTTCTGATAATGTGGTGTAGTTTAGGGTGAATCATTTTGCTAATGTTTTTTTTTTTTTAATCTGATGACAGATCAGAGCTGGAGTGTGGATCCTGGAGTTGATCTTGCTCAGTATGATACAGAGAGTTCTCTTCAACCAGAGGTACACTCAACATACACAACATTTACACTACACTGCTATTGTTTATTCAGCAAGGACGCATTCAATTGATCAACTGCAACAGTAAAGACATTTATGACTTCTATTTCAAATAAATACTGTTCTTTTGAACTTTCTATTCATTAAATAATTCGGGGAAAAAAATGATCATGGTTTACACCGTGATATGAAGCAGCACAACTGTTTTCAACATTGATAATAATACGTTTCTTGAGCATATTAGAAAGATTTCTGAAGGATCATGTGACGATGCTGAAAATTCACAGGAATAAATGACATTTTTAAAATATATTCAAATAGAAAAGTTATTTTTAATTGTAAATAATATTTCACAACATTATAATTAGTACTGTATTTTTGGTCAAAAAATGAATGCAGCCTTGGTGAGCAGAAGAGACTTCTTTCAAATATCTTTTGCATTTACTGTTTATGTAGACCATTTTGCAAGATGTAAACAACACTGGTCCAGAAGCACTTCCTGTTTCAGTTTGTAACTGTTTTCTTTATATCACATGTAAAGAAAACATCTTAAAGATTTAACTTTCTGATTCAGTTTTATATGTTCTGTTGGTTGTATTTTATCCCAGCTTTTATGTAGTGTTAAAAAACTGAAACAGGAAGTGCTTCTGGACCAGTGTTGTTTACATCTTGCAAAATGGTCTATAATGTGTTTGCATTAGTGAAATTTCCCCCCAAATTGCACTAGGCCAGATTCAGAACAGACATGGAAACAGTGGACACTGACTGCACATTTGTGAGTCACAGTCTGCTCATGAGAGGCCAGAAGAGGACGGGACGATCCCAAACGACTGGTATCATATGAACAAACACATAGCTTCGGATTAATTTCTATACCGCCCGTAAACAACTTCTACATGTGATTGATCAACAGGGATTGGGCAGAGGGCAAACGACAGCCTTGCTGACATCTTCGATAAGACAGGGTTCGGAGAATATGAGTCTTGTCCTCAGGACGAGAGCTCTGTTCCCAAACAAGACAGTACGTTCGAGGAGGAGAGAGGGGAAGATGATGATGAAGATGATGATGATGAAGAAGTGGCAGCAGGTAATGTTTCATTTTTCCAGTCATTTCCAAATCGCAGACACAGTTTCAGTAGCTTTGTTTTATAAATTATTTGTCCTTCATCTTTTAAACCTTTTTACCAAACATATTGCGATTGTTCAGAGAAATTCCTCCGGCCTGCTGACCTGAAACCTGTGACGTCTGACGGTGATGCATCTAGCAGGTGAGAAATGTGCTTTTATTAGTAATAAAGGTTCTTGTTGAGCTGCTTTGGAAAGATTGATATTGTGAAAATCGCTATATAGTTTGAAATTGTGGTAGTTTAGTATCATTAAGATATGCAAGCTTTATATATATATACTGTATATACAAATACATATACAGTATATATATATATATATATATATATATCAACATATTATTATACATTTTTGTCATTTTTAATACATATTTTTTTTTTAAGAACTGTCAGTGTAGTTTTTAGTATTTAGTTTTTAACTATTTTAGTATATCAGATTAAATTTTAGTATGAAAATGAAAAATATTGCTTTGGCAAATAGCTGAAATAAAATATTTTTATTTTATATCAAGTAATTTTTTTAATGGTTTTAGTTAACTATAATAATTCTGGTTTGAAAAAATATTAAAGTATTTAATTTAATGCAAATACTTCAGATTACAGAACTTTAAATGCATATGCTTCTAAAATACAGTGATTCACTGTCAACAAAATAGATGGTTTGAATAATAAAATTATTAGCAAATTAAAATCTTTCATGTACTATATTTGTACAAGACATTGTACATGTTTCGCTTTCTATTCCAGGAATAAGTCTTTCGCTCGTGTGGAAGTTGTGCGTAAGAAAGATGAAAGGAGAAAACTAAAAGGCCATTATTGTAAAGAGTGTGAAATTGTGAGTCAGTTTATATAGTTTATGACCAACTCCTTTTGCTAAATAATCATAGCATCAGTAATTAAAAATGTTATAATTAATACCATTCTGTTTCAGTATTATGCACACCTTCCAGAGGAAGAGAGGCTGAAAAAACTGTCCTCCTGTTCACGGCATCGCTACCGCTACATTCCACCTTCCACGCCGGAAAACTTCTGGGAAGTGGGCTTCCCGTCGACACAGACCTGTGTGGAAAGAGGTTCTGCATTATGTCATTTTGACAAACAGAAAGAAATGGATCAAACTTTGTAGTCTTGCACTTTTAAGAACTATTTAATAACATTATTTCCCCGTATATACAGAGAGTCTGAGACTTTTAAAGAGCACCAATTGTGCTTTTTTACATTTTCAGCTTTCTTTAGTGTGTAATGTTGTGGTTTGATCATGAAAAGTACAAACAAAAAGCACAAAGTCACTCCAAAGAGAGTTGAACTCCCTCCCTTGTAGTCTTGAGTTGTTGTTTTTTTCATTCCTCATTTAAATAATTCCTCCACACAGGATATGCAAATGAAGGGGGCTTGGGGGACTGGTTGAGTTAGTAGTGTGTTGAAACTGTGTGTTGGCAGGACATTTCCCAAACACGCTCAAAGCAGTTGACCAATCACAACACTCTGGTTCAGCCGACCAATCAGAGCACATTCATAGCATTACTGACAGACTGGGAAGAGAGGAGCTGCAACAATGGAGAATATGTGGAAAAAATAGTGTTTTTTTAACATTCAAGTCAAAAACGTATTCTAGTAGACACTAAAAACTAAAAGGGTCAAATATGGCCTCTTTAATATATAGATGTTTATTTTTTCAGTTTATCTCTGTCATTGAAGCATTTAGGTAACATTCATTGCTTTGCTCTCAACAGGATACATCAAAGAGGACGATCAGCCGGACATACGCATACGCAGGAGACGACCGTACCTCGCCATGTTCTCACCGAAAGTCAAGTCCCAAAAAAAGCAGCACTGAGTCGATCCGTTGTGACTTCAGATGGGATTTAAAAACCCCACTGGAACTAAATGGATAAATGTGAAATGTTTATTGAGAGTGAATCTCCTGCTCATGACCTAAATCACAGCTGCATATTTTAATTTATTTTATATGTGCGTGTTACACTGAGTAATTCATTGTCCTTGGGTTTTATTAAGTGAATTTGATTAATAAACAAACTTTATTTTCTCTAGAGGATTTTTTGAACTAGGTCAATTGTTTACATGTTGTGTGCTTGATTTTGACTGTATTTTGTAAAAAAAAAATCTTTAAATGGTACTAATAAAATATTTTTTTTAAAGTGCATTTGTTTACAGTGCATCTAAATATATGATTGTGCAATGCATATAGACAGTAGGTAAATAAATTATTTTAATGGTGATAAAAATTATTCTACTATAATTTTATGACAACAAAGGTTATAAATCACATTTAAGCCGTTTATACAATTATTTCTATTCAGCCTCTACAATTTGCATAAATAGTGCATATTCATAAAATTAAAAATATTTTGTGCAAACCGAAGCACCCGTGCCCTCAGATCACTTGGACGTGTCTGTGGTTACAAGAGGTAAAAAATTATATAAATACTGTTCGTTTTCTCACGCAAACCGCTCGTTTCGTGTCTTAGGCCATCAATGTGTACTTACATTTACGAATAATTAAATCATGTTTAATCTGGACTTCTCTGTGCATGCTCTTTGAGGTGGTGACCATAGACCTCCATTATATGACTGATAGACAAGAACGGTTTGACCTAAAAATATCAAAATTGAAACGACTGCACAAACAAAGACACCTACATCTTGGATGCCCTTGAGGTAAGCTAAAACATATCAAAAATGTATTTCAAAGTGAATTATCTCTTTAATTTCTTACTCAACCTGTCTTCTGTCAAACACAAAAGAAGATATTTTGAAGAATGTTGGTGAGCAGGCAGCTGATGGACCCCATTGACTTCCAATGTATTTTTTATACTACTGAAAGCCAAAAAACGTTACTTTTGTTTTCACGGGGACTTTAACTCCGCTTTTAACTTGCAAGTGTGAAACGTTCCTTTACCCAGGGTTAAAAGTGGGGTTTAGAGCGATGATAACCCAGGGGGTTAAGAGCAGTGTGTGTGTACAGATCAAGTGTAATTACAAATATTTGAAAATCAAATTCTGTTACATCCTTCCATTTTATTTTTCAGCAGAAAACATTTTTTTAAAAATGGTCAATTGAATTCTTTTATTTATTTTTGCAAAACAAGGTGATTTACAATACTAAGAAAACGGAATTATTTTATAATAGAATACATGGTCAGCTTTAGAAATACAATATTATGCAAAGTGGCTCTGAAATACAGTAAATGCCTTTCAAACATAATAATAACAGTACGTTTTGCAGGACTCATTTTAGTTTCGTTATTTATTTCTGAGTTATTATTTGAAACCCCCAGATAATATAATATTATATAATAAATATAACCGTCGATCAACCTGCTATAATTATGGATAATTGTAAAACATCTTTTTTAAAACCACTGAGAAACAGAAAGCTTATGCATTGATGTTTTCTAATTTTATCTTGTTTAATTCTCATAAAGAGTACTGATCTAAGGTGGGACAGTATTCAGGATGTGATCCAGGACTCTTAAAGGTAAACACTGAAGGACAATGATGTGCAAAGGTCGAACACAAACAGCAAACGCTGCTTCTGAAATAATACAACTGGAAAAATGGTCAATGGTGCAAAACTTCGAGTCGGAATCAGTCGACTGGAATTAAAATGCAGGAAATTACAATATATGGTAAACAACAGCAAGTTTTTTTTTTCCAATATTTGGTTTAACATGTCTCTCAAGACTGAAAATAAGAAGAAAAAAAATAAGACGCAAACAGAATATTACAGTAAAAAGAGTTTTGGGTTTTGCAAGGCTTATAGTGAAATAATCTCATTGAGGCAACTGGCTTTGGTCAATTAATAAAGTCTTGGAGTGACGGATTTGGAGAATCTTCAAAGGCACGGTCCATATTCTTCACCAAACTTAATGAAATCTATCAGCATACATGAACAAGGCCTCTCCGGTGTAGTTTAGGATGACGCTAATGAGTGAAAAACAATATACTGTGACATTTATTTCACTTATAACTCAAAAAATAATCCAGACTATTGTTATGAACTCACCAGCACAGTGTCACCGGACTGAGCACAGGGTTGAATGTGTAAAGGGAAAGACCCGAGGCCAGTACCTGCATGCAGTCAAAAAACATAAAGCCATTGTATCATTTTTATTGCAAGTACTGCAAATGCATATTGTGTGAAACCGGCCTTCTTGATAAACGGAGACACTAAACAAAGAATAATTGTGGTTGAAAATATCATTTTTCTCACCTTGGCCAGGACGCAGCAGACTCCACAGTGCTCCTGAGACAGACTGTTCTTCAGTTTTACAGTTGCCAACATCAGACAAAAGCTCAATATAGCGCTATGAAATTAAATTGAGGTCTAATTAGCATAAGATTCGCAAAAACAATCGATTTCTTATAACAAAATGACATGCATCACTCATTCTGTACTTTTTGGAGTACCAAAAAAATCCAATAAATCATGCCAATTTTCAATGCATTAGTATGCAGTATGTTGGTGTTACCTGCCCAAGCAGCCAGTGTGGAACCTGTATGAGGTCAGGAGAGTGAAATCTAAGGCCCCGGTCAAGTCACCTGAAAGACAGGACACCAAGAATCACACAGGGATCATGGCAGAAACATATAGACAAAACTAATATGGTAGCATAAAATACATAATTACCTGTTGAGTATGCAAGTGAGGCAAGTAACAATGCACTGAAAAAAAAAAAAGTAAAATTAACAGGGGCAGAAAAAAGCATGAATATATATACATATATATACACATATATATATACACATATATACATATATATAATATTTATATACGGTATATAAGCATTCAAAATATGCATGTGTCAAAATATGGGGGTGCATATATAAAGGATGGCATTAATGTTCATATTTAACCATTTACCTGGTCACATAGTTGATGAACTGCTCTTCAAGATCACTGTAATATTACAAATTAAAAATGACACTTATTATGAGATATCTAATAGATTCTATTATATTACCAGGCATCTACTTACATTATAAATAGTAACAACATACTTTCTCATTCTAAAAGTTTGGGGTCACTGCGTTGTTGTTGTTTTTTTCCAGAAATCAATAATTTTACTGATCAAAAGTGACAGTAACGTCATGTATAATGTTGCAAAAGATTTCTATTTTAAATAAGCATCCTTAAAATAAATGTATATGGATCATGGTTTGCACGAACATATTAAGCAGCACAACCGTTTCATCATTGATAATAATCATAAACTTTTCTTAAGCAACAATCAGAGTGATTTCAGAAGGATCATGTGACACTGAAGACTGGAGTAATGATGCTGAAAATTCATCTTTGATCACAGAAATAAATTATTATTAATCAATATTAATCAAGTCTTAAATGGTAAGAATATTACTATATTTTTGATCAAATAAAAGCAGCCATAGTGAGCAAAACAGACTTCACTTAAAAACATTTTTTTAAATCTTCCTGACCCCAAACTTTTGAATGGAGGTGTACATAAAAACAGCAAACCACCTCAGATGGCTCGTCTTTGTGTTTTTCTGGAATACTTTATATGCACCTAAATCAAAAAACACACAGGTAAAAATGCACAATTTCATATCTCCACATTGTCTCTTTAAGTTTAAGATCATTGCTCATAATTCTGGGTCCCATAACAAATACATACACACTCACCAACACAGAACAGATGGACGGACGCCCATGTGTAGCCACTGGGACCAAACTGAGAGGAGAGACGCATGGGACCATAAAGAGGATATGACACGGAGATTAATGTTACAGGAAACAGAACATCACCGTTACGTTTGTGAGAGTGAACATACCCGAGGATTGTACAGAATAAGGCTGGCGGCAGATCCCAGCAGCATACACACACTGTAAAGATGATTTCATTAAAAGCATCAATTGTTTAGTCTTTGTTTTTTGTACAATATTTCTTTAATAATCCCAAATCATAACATATTTGGTTCAACCAATTTAAAAGCCATACAAACATAAGCTCTTTTCAAGTCATTTTGGACTATTTGGTTTAAAGAAACATACCTTATTAATTTCATCCATGATGATTTCTGAATAATGCAAATACAAAGACAATTAGAATGGCATAAAACGAATAAATCAAATGTGAAGTCTGCATATGTTATGCAACTTTGTTGTCCAATCTGGGTTTTTGGGATGTGCACACCAGTTTTGTATTTTTGATAACTATAAAAACAACGTGCATCATGATTTTTAATCCTACTGAATAAATGTTGAAGAAAAAAAGCATGCAAAAAAAAAAAAAAATGCATCAAACTAACTAACCAAGCAGGATCCAGACTTACCTCTCTGTGAGTTACTGCTACCATGAGAAAAGCAAAGACTTCGGAGACATTTTGTAACACAAAGAAAAAAGGAATGGGCTTAAAAAAGAAAGAAGACATATTTCAATATAAGCAAATAAAAAGGTTGCACATTCAGTCTCACCATAGGAAAGATACTGAAGTCTTCCTACGGTTCATATTTAAACATATTTTGTATACTTACTAAAAGCGACAGTGCTTTGGACCCTGCATAAATGTTTCCGATAAATAAAAAGGATCCAGGAAGCTGGGAAAATGCTGCAGATCTAGATTACAAGCAAATATTACAACCCGATCATATTAATCTCTATTTAAATATATAATACTTAAATAAGTATATTATATAAGTGCATATTTAGTTAGTTACCTGGAGAATCCATTGATTTCAACCAAACCAAGTTTCCATGTAACCAGTAGCAGTAGAGCCCCAGTGGAGGTCTGCCACCTGTAGAGTTAATGATAACTATTCATATTGAAATAACATGGAAATGAGGAGCTGAATTTTGATTATAATGTGAGGAATACGATACGTACCCCTGAAAAATTGTTGGAAATGTAAACTTTAAGATAGACAGGACATACTGGAAAGCAAAGAACAATTATATATTATGTCAATACTATAATTTCACAATCTGGGACAAAAAAAAAAACACACACTGGTGCTGTCCAAAGTATAACAAAGTCAGTTTACCTTATTTGTGAAATAAGATGCTATGAAAAGTGTGCAGAATATAAGAACGAGAATTCCTCGAGCAACGTTCATTGGATTGAATGCATCAGTAACTTTGGTTTCGTGCACAGTTCCTTTGATACTCTTCTTCTTTTTCAATGTTCTGACATCTCATCTGCACTTCCTCTCTTCTGCTGCCACGCCCACTGTGACACGCAGCACATCTTTAACCAATAAAAGCCTGAACGAAATCTGCTTTTGAGAAACATCAGAGAATGTCTAATTGAATTTGTGAATGTCATCAGAGAATGTCTAATTTCTAATCCGTTAGGCGGGCTCTGGAAACATCCTCTTTTTTTTTTTATGAAAGTGTGAAAAACAACAACAACCGGTAATGCATAATTTTATAGTAATTGTAATATTATTTTAGTTTTACTATTTTTATTATTTTTAATATATTATTATTTATTTTTATAATATTATTATTGGTGATAAACGGATGCATTTTATTCGTCCATTTATCTTTTTGATTGCAAATCAATAATTAGCATTCCGCTGTATAACATTACAAGAAATTGTTCTAATGCAAATTTACAAATCACAGCAACGACAGAAACAGAATAAAACTAACTTAAATAAATAATTTTTTTATATTTGAATGACAACAAATTATGTGATAAATGAAAAAAAAAATAAAGGGATTAGTTTTTACTTTTACCATTAAAGGAAAACACATTATTTAAAAAAAGTTAAATAAATTAATAATTATCAAAAAAAAATGTTTCATAACATGAAGTTTTGACTGTTTTTATTAACAGTTTTTGCATAAATATAAAATGTATCATTTGTGTCTTTATTGTACTTTTATTTTGAAAAAAGTTATTGACGTCATATTGGGTTGTCCCACCAACCATTGTAGTAGATCACATCTATTTTTATCTGACACACTGTCGGTAACGAATTAACTTCTTGTTTTAAGCCACGTTTTAGCGGTCTAGGTCAAAGATAGTAATAAGTATTGTTACATATAGAGTTGAAGCCGATATTAACGAACCGAAGAAAGTATTACAGGCGCCACGTTCTTGAATCTAAACCTTCTGTCAACCAACATGGACCAACTTGAAGTAATAGCTACACAAGAAACCAAGGTGAGATTTCCTAACAATCTGATGTATTGTTTTTCTTCGGGGAAAAAATACGGGAATTGTTATAATATGAGTTGGTTTAGTTCCGGGCCTGTCAACCATTATACAACACAAGGATGAGTAATGAGTCTAAATAACACGATGACTCAGACTCTACTAAACCTGATGAACTTTACTCAAGGGAAGGTGTTTGAGCATGTGGACTTTGAATTTTTTTGAGTCATAAGTGTAATAAATTACAATACTGAAGTCCAACGTTAAGTATTATTTTTATTATAGTGTCATTAATATAATATTACTGTTGTTTTATTATTATAAATAAACATTCTCATTATTATTCATTGATTTATAAAAAATCAACTTTATTTTAAGAATTATTGCTGTCAAATCGAATAATTGTGATTAATCGCAACTAACATAAGTTTATTTAGATATGTGCGAGTATGTATATAGACACACACACACACACACATATATATATTTATTTACACACTTGTGTTAGATGCAATTTTTATTAGAGCTGTCAAATCGATTAATCATGATCAATTGCATCTAACATAAGTTTGTTTATATATGTGTATATTTCTATGTACACACATTTTATATATTTACAAACTTGTATGTTAGATGTGATTAATCACGATTAATCGGTTTGACAGCACAGATTATTACCGTATTAAACAATTATAGTATTACCTTTTTTTATACTTTCAGTTTTCATTTTAACTAATATTTACTCGATTTGTTATGTGCTTTTGACAATCTTATTACTTGTATATATATTTCTTTTCTATTTAGCTTTCATTTATTTTCAGCTTTAGTAATTATACTTTTTAATCTTAAAGGAATTCTTCATTTTTGGGTGGAGTATCCTTTTAAAACTATAACAAAAAATGAAGAAAAATTACTAAAATGATATAATTATCATTTTTGGGTGGAGTATCCCTTTAAGACTTTTTATATAATATGTCGCCCTATATTTTATTCGCTAGTTTATTTCAGTTACCAAAAACGTTTGTAGTTTTAGTTTTTGTCATTTTTGTTGTCATTTCAGCTAAAAATAATAGCACTGCTTGAAACTTCACATTGCATTCCCATCACCCTGTATTAAAACGAGCAAATGTTTTGCCACATGATCTAACTGTCATGAACATACAACTCAATTTGACTGGTTTAATGTAGGCCATGGCACATGTGACAGACTGTTATTCTGCTTGTTCACTGCTGATGGTGTTAGTTGTTGTAATGTAAACCTTACTTCTGGTGATGGAGTGTTTCAGTCATTAATGTGATTTTCTGTTGTTTCCCAGAGCCCCTGGGGCGCTCCCGTCCTGGCACCGTCGCCCTGCTCTCTGGCTGATGTTATGAGTGAGGAGTTGGCCCGACAGCTGGATGAAGAGGGCAACACTTTCCCAAACTGCCCAGAGTGAGTCTTACAAACCTATATATCAAATTAGTACGGGTCTAGTACCTCGATTATTTCTACAATGGTAATATATGGTACAGTGAACTAAGTAGAGCTGCACGACTAATCTTTAAAAGATCACGATCTCGATTCAAACACTCACTTGTCTATTAAACCTTTGACAAAATCACACCAGAACTTTTCGATCTGTGTTAGTGCTGACCCAGAGAGAGCTGTTGTCTTGTATAGGTGTGAAACGGCTTCACAAACAGGCTTTTCCAACACACAGTCTCATTATTTCACTTATTCATATTATCAGTGAAGTACTGGGATAAAAGATTTTAGTTCAGATATTAACATTGATGTCTACAGAAGCGAATTACCATTTGTAAGTAAGTTGACTCCTTAAATAAAGATTGTGTTGATTACATTATGCCATCAGGTAACGATAAGTGACTGTAAATGTGTTTATCACTGAGTCATTCTTTCAAGAGATTCATTCAAAAAAGCAAATTCATCCATTAATAAAACAAGCAATGTATACATGAGTGAGTTATTGAATCATTTTATTTTTTATAATTCAGTCAAATGAAACATTTTGAATAGACTGCGACTTACGAATCTCTTACGAAGTTAGTTTTCCTTCATTTCTGAAGGCGTAATCATCTTTTGTATATTATTTTCAGTACCGACCTGAAGCTGACCTGCGCTTCAGAAGTGGAAACGTCCAGCGACCTGATACTGGCCCAGATGCTTCAGATGGAGTTCGATCGCGAGTTTGATACGCAGCTGCGCAGGGAGGAGAAGAAGTTTAATGGAGACAGCAAAGGTATAACCATGAAGACGTATATCAAGCAGCTTTTCCAACAAGAAGAAATGTTGCGCCAGTAAACGGGTCACGAGAAAACAAGAGAGGATGCAAGAGAGAGGAAAACCTATTTTGATTAAAGATTATTTAAAAAAAGTTAATAAATACTACAATATTCAATAAAAAAATCAAAAATTGTCCATTTGATTTCATGGTAACTTTAATGCATGTTTTGTTCTCTTTCTATGCAAGTACTTCCATTATAACCTGAACGATTAATTTCCAGTGTCCATATCATTTGAGAACTACCGTATGGTTCATCCGTATGAGGACAGTGACAGCTCTGAGGATGAGGTGGACTGGCAAGACACTCGCCATGACCCTTACAAAGCCGGTGAGCTACAATACCTAAGAACACTGTGATTTAGTATTATTTTTACAATATATATAGTTTTATACTTATTTATTTAGTTTTATTTAATTTTATATATTTGTATATATTTTTTATATTTATATATATATTATATTTATTTAGTTTTATACTTATTTATTTATTTTTGTTTAATTTTATATTTATTTTTATATTCCATTTTTGTTATGTGCCTTTGTCATTCTTATTGGTTAGTTTTATTATATTTCTATTAAACTTTCATTTATTTTTAGTGATTTTAATACTTCGATTTTAAGTCAAAATTTTTCCACGTTTAAGTCTAAGCTTTTCATGCATTATTTGTACTTTTTATTCCTGCTTGTTTGTGCCACATATTCAATCATATTTATAGGTGCTCTTACCAGTTAATGATTTTTGACCTGCCTGCATTTCATGTACCCGCTCAGACAAACCAACTATTACCCCTAAAAAGGGCTTTGTTGGTAAAGGCAAGAACATCACCACCAAACACGACGAGGAGGTCTGTGGACGGAAGAACACCGCACGCATGGATAATGTAAGGCCTGTTCACACTTTATCCAAATAACATTTTGAGAACTGTCTTCACACTTTTAATCTTTTTTTTTAATATGCCTTTATACAGTTTGCTCCGGAGGTGCAGGTGGGAGACGGGATCGGCATGGACCTGAAGCTCTCCAACCAAGTGTACAACGCTCTGAAACGCCACTGTCAGTCAGAGCAGCGCCGTAGCGCTCGACTTCATGAGAAGAAAGAGCACTCTACTGCTGTGAGAAGTTTTCCTTTTTAAAGTTGTGATACTCTATTCCCCCCTATTGTGGCGTATATACAAGTGAAACTGCTTCTCGAACAAGAACAAATGTAGGATGGGACATGATTGTGTCTGTGGGGAATTGATTGGATGGTTGTGGGTTGCTATTGGTGGATCTCATGTGAGTGACAGGTTGCGCCGCCCTCTCGCCAGTAAATGCATCATCAGAGAAGAGATGTCTCCAAGAGAGAGGGGACATTTTTTTGGATTAAAGATTATGATAGCGCATGAATTTGAATAAAAATCATGTCAAATTTGTGCATAAATAAATACTGAAATATCACATTCTTTATTATTTAATTAGTTCTTTTATTTTATTAAATTTAGTTTAGACTCAAACCTTAGAAGTTAAATGTTATGTAAAGCGCCCAACCCATTCTTTATTTATTATTTTATTTAATTAAACTTTAGGGGCACTTCCGAATCAACATACTGTATGAGAAATGTATTCTATAATGTGTTGTGCCTGTACATTTAATGTCTTCAGGAACATGCTGTGGATCCCAAGACCAGACTACTGATGTACAAAATGGTGAATGCTGGGATACTGGAGACCATCAATGGCTGCATCAGCACAGGAAAAGAGTCAGTGGTGTTCCATGCTAACGGAGGGAGGTGGGTGCTAATGATTACTGCGTTTGCAACTCCCTGAAGTCTTGCATCTATCACAAGGGTGCCTTTATTTAGCAACACTATCCCGTTGTGTCTCCTGTAGCTTTGAAGAGAAGATTGTTCCGGAAGAGTGTGTCCTCAAGGTTTTCAAGACCACCCTGAATGAGTTTAAGAACCGGGACAAATATATCAAGGATGACTACCGCTTCAAAGACCGCTTCAGCAAGCTGAACCCTCGCAAAATTATCCGCCTGTGGGCTGAGAAGGAGATGCACAACCTCACCAGGTACAAGACAGATGTTTAATACATTTATCATGATGCAAGACATTCATTGGATTTGCTGATGACACTACAGTATAATATTGTTTGATGCATCTTGTTCTTTCATGTACGCATAAATCTACGTGTAGGATAAAGAAAGCAGGGATCCCGTGCCCGGATGTGATTATTCTCAAGAAGCATATCCTTGTGATGTCATTCATTGGGCAGGACCATGTTCCCGCACCTAAACTGAAGGACGCCATCCTGAGTTCTGAGGATATGAAGAAAGCCTACTACCAAGTGCTAAACGTGAGTGCACTCAAATGCTAGAATGTTAAATGGGTTTTGGGTAAAAAATACGATTTTTAGTGGTTATTTAGGTTATTATTTAGGATTTGTTACTTTATTGCAGTGTTTAATTATCATGATTTTGGGGTGAAGAATAACTTGAATATTTGTTTTTGATTCACTGTTTCTCAGATGATGCAGCGGCTGTATCAAGACTGTAACCTGGTTCATGCTGATCTGAGCGAATACAACATGCTCTGGCATGATGGACAGGTTTGTATAAGATCAGACATTATTAGTTGTACATCGTTTTAAATTTCACACACCGAGGATTTTCATGTTGTCGTGAACTACACTAACCGTTCAAAAGTTTGAGGTCGGTAAGATTCTTAAAATGTTTTTGAAAGAAGTCTCTTATGCTCAGCAAGTGTGAAAGCTTGTTTCTGCCATGGAATAGAATTTATTTGATGAAAATGTAATTTATTCCTGTGATCAAAGCATGATGATTTTCAGCATCATTTCTCCAGTCTTCAATGTCACATGATCCGTCAGAAATCATTCTAATATCTATGAAATATCTACTCAAGAAATTTGAAATGATCAATGTTGAAAACAGTTGAATAGAAAATGAAAATAGAAAGTTTAAAAAAATAGCTTTTATTTGAAATGGAATTCTTTTATAAAATTATAAATGTCTTTACTGTCACTTTAGATCAATTTAATGCATCCTTACTGATTAAAAGGATTAATTTCTTTAAAAAATAACCCAAACTACAAGCATGTTGGTTTACAATAGAGCTCTTAAAGGGATAGTTCACCCAAAAATGAAAATTGTCATCATTTATTAACCCTCACGTCTTTCTAAACCCGTAAGACTTTAGTTCATCTTCGGAACACAAATGAAGACATTTTTAATGAAATCTGAGAGATTTCTGTCCCTCCATCACCCAAAACTCTTGATGCTGCAAAATGTTCATGAAGAAACCATAAATAAAATTCATATGAATCGAGCAGTTTAGTCCAAGTCTTCTGAAGAGACTCAACTTTTTGAAGCGTTTTAAAAATGAACAAAAGTCTTATACGTTTGGAACGACATGAAGGTAATATATATGCTTTGGTTGTACAGTTTTACATATGAAAGCACTATATAAATGCCTCATTCATTCATAAATGAATTTATCAAATGCAACATGACCCCACAAAGTTCTTTTCTGTGTCTGCTCATGAAGGTGTGGTTCATCGATGTGAGTCAGTCCATAGAGCCGACTCACCCTCACGGTCTGGAGTTCTTGTTCAGGGACTGCAGGAATGTGGCCACAGTAAGTGTCTGGACTATCTGCTGGCATATTAAAGCCATGCAGGTTGTGCTCAGTAATGTATGCTCTTTTCTGTTCTCCAGTTTTTCCAGAAAGCAGGCGTGGCCGAGGCTCTCAATGTATTCGAGCTGTTCAACATCGTGTCTGGACTGCAGATCAACAGCGACAATGAGGCTGATTTCTTAGCCCAGGTTCGGACTTTAAATGTTTATTATTTGCAAAATAATTCAAAAAAAGCAATATGTTGGATAACAAAGGGCTCGTTTACACTTGGCATTAGCATGTGACCTGTATCCAGATGTTGTCCACACGCATATTGAAAAGACAAGTGTAAAGGCATTTGTGTTATCCAACCTGTGTGTGCTGGTCTGGAGTAATCGAGGGCGCGCTGTGTGACTTTTAACACGTTCTATGTGTTGGCTATTAGATGTCTTTTAAACATAAAATTGTTTGCTGGGTGAAGCAGTGATGCCTTATTATTTATATACATTTTAGTGGCCAGTGCTTAGATATAGAAACCAAGCACCTGGGTGTCGACCCAAACAAAGCATGCAGATTACAGATTAAGTATCCAGGTATAAACCCATCCCATTCAAAGAATGGGACAGGGGCTCTAAGAGCCATTAAAGACACAAGGCGAGGGTCTAGATAATCCGGCTCATTTGACTTGCAATGAACAGAACAGGAACTGGTGGAAAACTCTTGCTAGAAACTTTGCTTTAGCTCTTAAAATGCTAAATATAAGGTCCTTCACCTCAGTTTCTGTGGTGTGGTTTAGATGCAATTTGATTTGAAAGGTGGCAAAAAGATCCAACACATTTTCAAAACTTTGTTATTAAAAAACCTGTTTCATGCATTTTTACAGATTGAAGCCCTGGAGAAAAGAAATGAAGATCATGTACAGAAACCGGGCAAGAAAATCTTCAACGCCACCTGTGACGGCAGTCCACCCCAGTTAAACACTGATGATGATGATTAACACAAGCACAATAGTCATTTGAATAATAAAGGAGAGAAAATTCCTCCGGTCACAATAAGGAGTGGAATGGGATGAACGCCCGTGTCCATGTGAAATACTCACACCATCCTTCTGCTGTCTGCTCGGTGTTGAAAATGACACATTGTGGTCATTTGAGACATCAAGCACATCCTGTCATTTTTTTAACAGACAGTTTTGGAAGATGGTTAAACAGATATTCAACAAAAAAAAAAAAAAAGGAAACCAGTAACTATAAAGACACATGTGATGTTTTTGAATTGTGTGGTGTTAAAAATGTGTCTCCTTCCACAAAAAGGGCAAGAATGCAGTGAAGATCTCCTGGAAATCTCTGAATGCTCTGTATGTGTGTTGATTTGAGCTTTTGTATTGAACAGAACGCAGGACATTGCTTCAGTTCTGCATGAAAATGACAGCCTGGGTTTTTTTGTGGAGTCAGTTTACTGCTAAGATGACTATTGATGTAGATCAAAAATGATGTGGTCTTTGGAAAATCAGGTAAAGATGAAAATAAACTCTTGAGTCGCAAGCTTTGAGTTCTTCTTGTGCTGCTATTTTAGTTTTTACTAAATACATTTTAAAAGTCTGACTTATGATTTTGTGTTTATAGGAACAGGAACTTTTTCTAGGCCAAATTTTAATCCAATATTTATCAAGGGCAGCACGGATACTCAGGATTTGTACACTTTTTTTTACTTTACAATATTGTCTGTTTGAATAAATACAATATTTAGGAGCATATGATGTCTAATGTCAGGAAGTTGGAGCTACAGGATCAGGTATGACAGCAGAATGTTGGGAAATGTTATTGGACTGTTTCAGTTTAGCTGAAGTTTCATAACTGCCTGGCATATTTTATCCATAAATATTTTATAGATAAGATTTTAAAAGTAAAAAGTCGTTACGTAAGTCGTTAGATATATCTCAATCAATGAGCTTTCAATACGATTTTGTTCGCAGTACCCAACGTTTCCTCTAGATTAAATTCAACTTCTAATGCACAAAGAATGAAAGTGTAAGTATTTTTCAGAACATAATCTTTTTGAATCATGTTTGCCTACCTACATGATTTTTCCCCACAGAAGTTTCACAGCATTCCGATGAAATAAAATGCCCAAACACCTCAGGGTTAATTAATATATTTGCACATTCCCAGGGCTGCAACTGGAGAACATCATGTAAACAAAAACAAACCAGAACACCAATAGGGCTAACTATTTTTTATCTTCTTTTCTTTTTGCTGATTCATCTTGTACTCTTCCATTTGTCAACATGAACATACACGTCAGAAGTTTTAAAGAACAGTAGCTAGGTCATCGGCTTTTAACTCATAACCCCACTATACTCGCAAAATATGAGGGGAAAACATGTTAACATTTTCATATTACGGATAGGCCTTTCTAATGTAGGCTATCAAATTAACAACACTGTCGGAAGGCTACATAAAATAAAGACATTGACGGGAATGAAAATAATAAATAGACGATAGGCCTATTTTTGCTTTCTTGCGCATAATAATGCTATTAAAGGAGGAGTAGTTCACTTTTAAAAACACTTTTGCTGATAATTTACTCATTCTTTCTTCAGTCGAAAAGAAATTAAGGTTTTTGATGAAAACATCCCAGGATTTTTCTCCATATAATGGACTTCAATGGGAACCAAACGGTTCAAGGTCCAAAAGACAGTTTCAGTGCGAACTGCAAACTGTTCAAAGGGCTTTAAACGATTTAAAACGATGAATAAGGGTCTTATCAAGCGAAACGATCGCTCTTTAAAAAAAAAAAATACAATAAGTTATTGTGCGTTCATGACTCTCCTGTTCGAACTCGTTTATCAAAATAAAAGAATCTTTTTTCGCGTCAAATTTGATTCAGTCAACGAGCGAAATGAATGAGTTGACTCTGGAAAAGATTCGTTCATTATAATGAACGAGTTCGAATAGGAGAGTCACGAACGCGCATCACAGAACAGAGCAAGGCGACCATTTGAGCTTATAAAACTTTGTTATTTATTTATTTTTTTTAAATGAGCGATTGTTAAGATCCTTATTCATCGTCTGAAATCGTTTAAAGCCCTTTGAACAGTTTGCACGTGGACATGACATGGATGGAGGTGAGTATCAGTGGGGTTTTTTTTAAGTGAACTACTCCTTTAAGCGGTTCAGAAAGTGATTCATACGTCGATTCAGTAACAGCTCGGTGAGTTTATTCAGTTAAGGATTCGTCAAACTGATACCTTCTCCTGAGTTCGTGAGTCTTTTCAAAAGATTCTTGAAAATATTCATCATTTGTTCTTAGCTAGCTACACGACACACTGAAACGTAGGCTGTAGTATACTACATACTAGCCGATGAATATCGACGCTGGAAACACGTCAAACTATGATTCTGACCAAACCAACGAACTTCGTAACTGAGTTCAGATATTTTTCATTTCTGATTGTGACATGGCATAGGGTTCAGTATTTTCACACGTTCGCAAACCCCCTTCCTGGATTGAGCAATTTCTAGAGTACTTGTCCCCATTCCTCAAAAATGCCGAGGGCGACGTCAGCCTGTTATTTTCCCATGAAAACACGGTTAGTGTTATTGTGTAATCAGATTACAGCATGTCATCTTCACCCTAAAAAACAGCATAATCTGCATTATGTATGCAGAACTGCAGCAGCTATTATCTACTTTAATTACTCTGTTTATGTTATTCTGCTTTCTAGAGATCCCATGACCCAATTGTCTTTAACATCTCAACTTATTCTCCAATAGACAAATTAGATGAAGACTTGAAGAAATGAAGAATTTAATTTCTATTTAATTATTATTTCTCCAAAGGAGTTTTAGAAGGAACATTAAACAATATTGATACTTAACTTCAAATGAGTTCTGAGTTATGAAAAAGCAAATGCATTGCTTTATCCCGTTGCGTATATTGACAACAGGCCTAAAACTTCACACTTGCTGGAAACTATAACAGCTGTAGACATTTAAAGACATTTTATTTTCCTTTAGGATGAAGCATTATAGAGTCAAATGACATTATATTGATCTGCCCAGACTAGTAATCATAATATTTCACTATAAGGTGAAATGACATGATACTGGAATTTACAACTTCGATAAGATACCTTGGCTTGGAACGACATGAGGGTGAATCATTCATGACATAATTTTCATTTTTGGGTGAACTAACCCTTTAACATGACAGACAGCAGCAGGTTTATTAGGCTGCTGTCACTTTAAGAGCATACGCACAGATCCTTTATAGCCTACCGTTACACAACATTTCTGTTCCAAAACTGACTGTATTTACCTGAATACTCGGCAAGACAGGCGTTGTGACTAAACTTTTTATGTATTTGACCATAAGAGCAATAAGCCACGATAAGGCTTAATAAGGCTTTGTACGAGTGTATCGATTTTGCAGAAAAAGAGGAAACAGTTTCAGATATTTCAGTATCAAAACATATCAAAATAGCAACATGAACAAAATATCAACATATCAAAATTATTTTTGACAACACACACACACACACACATATATATATATATATATATATATGCTACTTTTCGTGATGTTGATCTGGAATGCAAGATGTATCTATAATAATATAGGCCTATATATATTATATATAGACCCAAATCTTGGAAAATCTTCAAATCTTCAATTCATCAGGCTAAAGAAACTAAAATTTCCCCAAAGCAGCCCAACAGGCTCATCCACATTTGCAATGAATGTCTTTGTCACACACACCCACGAGAAGAGGAAACATCATGGTTGCCATATTTCAATGTTTTTTTGGCTTAGTTTTGATGACTATAAAGTTTACCATCTGTGAGACCGTCACACTTGTGCACATTGTTTTTAATATTGCTTTATTGTTGTGGATTTTGATTGTGATTGAGCAGCTTTCGGTTACAAGCCACATGTGGAAGCCCCGCCCTCTTCATCTAAATCACTTTAGCTTTCACATTTCCCCTCTCAAACCATTTACATGATCAACCTGATAACATCTGTGTCTTGAAGTAGAACAAGAGTGCTGGCAAAATGAAGCAGTGAGAGGAATCAAATGGAAGGAGACATGCTCATCTGAGGAAGAGACCAACAGTTCACAGAGAGAACTTTCCAGAGATCACAGTATAATAATGACCTTTATTGAAAAGGGTCAAAAGAAGACCTACATTTCAACATGCAGGTTTGAGCTAAAGCCTGCCCTGGATGGGCCGAGGAGGACAGAGAATAGAGTCAAACTGAAGCACAGAGAGGAGAAATCAGGTAAATCAGCTCAGAGATTTTTTTACCATTAATTTAAACTGAGACATTAAAGACATATTTCATTGTCATGATGTTCAAGAAGTTTGGGAAGCTTCTTCTGCTCACCAAGGCTGCATTTATTTAATTAAAAAACAGTAATATTTTGAAATCTGTAAAACAACTGTTTTCTATTTGAATGGGTTTTAAAATGTAATTTATTCCTGTGATCAAAGCTGAATTTTTTTGCATCATTACTCCAGTCTTCAGAGTCACATGATCCTTCCCAAATCACTCTAATATGATGATTTGCTGCTCAAGAAATAATTCCTTATTTTTTGTGATACATTTGTACAGGGTTTTTCAAGAACAGTATTTATTTGAAATAGAAAGCTTTCGTCTTTACCGTCACTTTTGATCAATTTAATGCGTCACTGTTGAATAAAAGTATTGATATTACAGCTTTAATTGCTTACACACAATTTTTTAAACTAAGGCTCCATTTCTCAAAATTGTAAACCACAAAACATGCACATAGGATGCAAAACCTCACACGTCTTGCAATAGCAAAAATTAAAAAAATGTATTTTTGCGTAATTACACACAAACATAAAAAAATAGTACATTGTTGTCGTGTAAACGTACCCAAGGCATCATCCGAAATCATATACTCTCTTTGAGTAGGAACTTATTTTTAATAAATGCATAATGACCACTATATAGTATGAATGTGTGTAGCATGAAACATTCACACTATATAGAACACACTTTTTTTATATACAAGTCCTTCTCAAAAAATTAAACTTTCATATATTTTAGATTCATTGCACACCAATTGAAATATTTCAGGTGTTTTATTGTTTTAATACTGATGATTTTGGCATACAGCTCATGAAAACCCAAAATTCCTATCTCAAAAAATAAGCATATTTCATCCGACCAATAAAAGAACTGTTTTTAATACAAAAAAAGTCAACCTTCAAATAATTATGTTCAGTTATGCACTCAATACTCAATTGCAGAAATGACTGCTTCAATGCGGCGTGGCATGAAGGCAATCAGCCTGTGGCACTGCTGAGGTGTTATGGAGGCCCAGGATGCTTCGATAGCGGCCTTAAGCTCATCCAGAGTGTTGGGTCTTGAGTCTCTCAACTTTCTCTTCACAATATCCCACAGATTTTCTATGGGGTTCAGGTCAGGAGAATTGGCAGGCCAATTGAGCACAATAATACCATGGTCAGTAAACCATTTACCAGTGGTTTCAGCACTGTGAGCAGTTGCCAGG